TTAATATGTTAAGTGTGTTTTCCAGCTGACCTTGCCTTCTCCATTGTGCATCGCTGTTGGCAGGAAACGATACGGCAGGTGGCTTTTGATCAGACGAGGCGATGTCAGTTCCTACAGAAACACAAAACTTTATCAGTCCAAGAGGTCAGAAAAAAAAATAAACATTTTATTCCCATGCTGAAGGCCATTGGTTCAGTAAATATGTGCGTGTGAGAGAGTAAACACCTGGATGATCTCCAAACCCGGCTGTGGATATTCCAACACAGGAAGCTGCTCATCAATATTCATGAGCCCGATCTCATCTGGGTCCGCACCCTGACTCACCAGATACACAACCTCCTGTAACAAACTCGTACCTACGTGCATGAGATGAAGAAAGCAAAGTTGTTTTGGATGAATTATTGATGGTAAAAAGAGGACTTTGCCAGCTGCACTTAAAGGGTGCATATGATCATTTCATTTCAATTTTTCCTTTCTCTTTGGAGTGTTACAAGCTCTTGGTGCATAAAGAAGATCTGTAAAGCTGCAAAGACTAAAGTCTCAAATCCAAAGATGTTCTTTATTAACTGTAAACACATGAATATAGCCTGACCTGCAACCTCAATGATTTAAAATCATTCTTTGGTGAACTGTTTTGTTTTTTCAGTTTTGACCGTCACAGCTGACAAGGAGCAGTCCATCCATTTGATGCAGATGCTCCTATGCTTCACAGAAGATGTTGAGTTTATTGGGTGAGGAACTAAAATGACGTCTTGCCCCATGATTTTGGGCTGTTCATTTTATAAGAGCTTTGGCATTTTTTATGTGTTAATTGTTTGTCAGGCTTCTGCTTTGCCAAACTACCCAACAGTACAATGGTGGTTTGATTATACAGGGAGCCAGGTACAAACAAGTTGCTGTTGACCTTTAGGCAGCCCTGATAATGAAATTTCACCCTGCCGAGTCAAACGTTTTGGGTACATGCCCTGATCTTCGTATCTTCCACCTTCTTCACAGTGTTCCCTGACATGTGTAAATCTAATGCATCAACATTATCCTTACATGCAGGAATTAATGGTGGTATGCACTGAAAACATCTAAAGGACCTCCGACAGAAATCATATAGATTTTTTTTATATTTTCCTTTCAAATAATATTTATTTGTTTTAACTTATTTAATGTCAGTTTGTTCTGACATTTATAAAAGGATATTTTGTTCATTTGCTGTTAATTCTTTATACGCTACTGATCAACAGGAACACGTCACATTCCAAGAAAACCTTTCAAGAAAAATGTGCAAACGTAACATTTATTAGCCCTAACAAATGAATTGTAAAAGTAATTCTGGAAGGGACAGAGCTGGTTTAAACACATGACTACCATTAAACATTTGACAACGGAGCCTTTCAACCCCAACAAGTCTTATTTGGATCCTCTGAAAAGCATGAAAAATGCAAGTTTGTAGACTGTTCACATTAATACAAAAGCTTATATCAATTACATTGATGTTATTTTCGCACATTTTTTGTATTGTATGACTGTGGAGGCATATCAGTGTCCCCTTTCACTTCTTATTTTTTTGCCCATTTCAGATGAAACGTCTACTTCTGTTTAGTTGAGGAGAAGCAATTATACTGCCACCTCAGCAGAACTCTTATTTGTTGACTACATAAGGAGTTTTCAAGAGTACAAAACAAAGGTAAAATACAAGCATGACCTTGAAATTATCATAAAGTGCCTCTTTCACTCTCATTCAGCAGTTTTGTTTACTCTTGGCTGGCTTGAGAGCATACATAAGCAGAAATTAAACACGCATGCTAACTTTAACATGAACAACATGCATAGAAATATCTATACAAAAGCAACCCAACTAGGGCGCTGCCTTAAAGTTAGATTTAATAATCTTGATTTGCTGTACAGAAACACTCTTGTGTTAACTACTTTAAAGATCTGGAACAAATTAAGATTTTAAGGGCATAACAATAAATACAAGGAGGCTTTATCTTTCAGTACGATGATGACGTTTGATTTTAAATCACTTTTCAAGAAAACACACCATTGGGGTCACATGACCCTCTGGCCGCTTCCTCCCACTGGACTGCAAAACGAAATAAAGCCACATAAAGTGAAGTTATCTTGCAAACACAATTGGTGCACTACCAAAAGTGGTATTATTTACACTATCAATTTATAAATTTCCAGGCATTATATTTGGGAAATATCAAAATTTATTGATATACATTTGTTCAGACTGTTTAAAATTATTAAAATATTTCATGTCAAACTATGGTCAAACAAAATGGAGCTTAATTGTTTTATAAGAAGCCTGAGAAATATCAAGCATATAATGTTTGACTCTGCCATTTCCATCACAACTATCAACAAGGCAATGTCTGTTTACTCCACAGATTCGACTGGCAGTGCAACATGTGACTCTATTGACCTGTCATCCATCACAGTCCGCTGGAGACACACATTTCAGTGTGTAACACTCAGCAGAGCTCGGTCTTCCCTCGGCTCTCCGAACTCAATTCAACCGATGCTGGTGCGACACAACATCCTCTGCAAAGCCAAGCGATTTCAGACCCTCACGCTATCATTCTTACTATCGTGCTGTTTGTCGAACTCTCAGTTCATCTCTTTATAACTGCACAGTGGTATCTGTAGCGTGTTACATAAACAGCTGCATCCATTTAGACATCCCTTGACTGTACTAATGTCGTTTATGCCTATGGTGGTTTTCTTAGTAAAACTTTACAATAAGGTTCAATTTGTTAACATTAGTTTACAATAACAATGAGAAATAATTCTAAAGCATTTATTAAACTTAATCAATGTTAATTTCAACATATACTAATACATTACAAAAATTAAAGCTGAAATGAAGTAAAAATGAACAGCTGTATTTTTATTAACGAACATTCAAAGGAAAAGATAACCTAAAAATGAAAATTTGCTGCCATTCAGGATGTAGATGAGTTTGTTTCTTCATCAGAACAGATTTGGAGAAATTTAGCATTACATCACTTGCTCACCAATGGATCCTCTGCAATGAATGGGTGCCGTCAGAATGAGAGTTGTCAGAATGAACAAAGCCATCATTAAGGTGTTTAAATTTGAACCTATTGCTTCTGGCCAAAATACGAATCCATAATCCATAATAACACTTCCTCTAGTGAAAAAGTCCATCCCCTGTTGTCCTCTCACATCAAAATATTTGTTTAGAACTGTTTTGGACTGTTTCCGCTTGTAAATGGTGCTTGATATGTGCATATTTCTGACTTTTGTACCGGAGAAAGCAATATTATGCATAAAGAACTTGAATTTCAGTTGGAAGCAACAGTTTGAAGTTAAAAACGTCTTGATGGATTTGTTTCTTACAAACATGCAGCTTTGTATGCTAAATTTCTCCAAATCTGTGAATCTACATCTACATCTTGAATGGCTTTATAGGGTGAGAAAACTTTCAGAAAAATGTTCATTTTGGGTGAACTACTCCTTTAACAAAGTGAATTACTCATTATTTGTTCATTTTAGTTAATATGCACTAAAGTAATGGAACCTTATTATAAAGCAGGGGTGCCCAAACTCGGTCCTGGAGGGCCGATGTCCTGCAGAGTTTAGCTCCAACTTGCCTCAACACACCTGCCAGGAAGTTTATAGTATGCCTAGTAAGAGCTTGATTAGCTGGTTCAGGTGTGTCTAATTGGGGTTGGATCTAAACTATGCAGGACATCGGCCCTCCAGGACCGAGTTTGGGCACCCCTGTTATAAAGTGTTACTGTTTTCTTTTTGGCTTCTCGTGTGCAAGCAGGTGAGAAAGCAATAAGACAACTCTATAATGCATCTGAACTTTCCAGTCTAAATTGCTTTTTTCATTACAGGAAACAAAAAAAGATCTGTAAATATACATTTGTTTTCAGCTGACTTATTACACAAGTAAATCGACATAGCAACAAGCATGCATGGGAGAGGGACTGATACATCCTAACAGGAAACAGCGCCCCTGCAGTGAATGAACACGTGTAGGCATTGCAAACATTTCACCTTTCTTTTTAAAAATTTCACATCAACACACAATACAAACACTCCCAGTTCTGATTTTTCATTCTTATCATCCAAAGATCACACAATCTCTAAAATAATCAACTTTTCACCTTATTATTTTGATGAAACTCATCTGTTTCATACAGGCCTGGCTCAGATACAAGACTCTCAGGGAGGATCGGACATGATTAGGTGGGCCAGCCTGGTTTCATAATGTTTTGAAAATGCCTCCTATTTGAAATTAATAATATTGCCAATATCATCCAGGCTGTTGATGAATCATCCATAAAGGTAAACGTGTATTTATTTGTCTATAATTTAGAAAGCGCTATTTTACGAAACAAGCAGACTATATAAATATGCACATAAATGCTTAGGTTTTGTATTTATTATATTAACAAGCTATCTAAAACATGTTTTGGCACACTCTAAATCATATTGTCTACAAACAAATATGCAAAACAAAAGTGACGTGCAGTGATGCTAAAGATCTCAGATCATCCTTTATTTTGGTAAACCCCTCAAATAACTTCATCCTCTATGAAGGAAAAGCATGCACATGTAAGCTGTGTTTTAATACCTGATTTGGGGTATGTAACGATCCATATGTCGCTACTTCTTAACGAAAAGTTGGCGATCTCGTCCATCTTGCCCCTGCAGAAAGGAGGGAGTCGAACTCCATGATACTCGAAGTATTTGCTCTCGTATTCAATCGGGGTGCTCGGCGTGTCCACCTCGCTTTCCGCCATCCTGCCAAACGATTACAACACGAAAGGCTTGAAGGGATTGATTTTTAAAAAGATTTGGGGAGAAGAGGACGCATTTGATATCCAGCAGCCTCTGATTGTTTGGCAAAGACGTGCCGCTTTGCGTGCGCCTTGACCTTCAGCCAATCAGGAGGAGAGGAGAGATGATGTAATGGGATTCTCTCAGCATCAGCACCAGTAGTCTGGGCGGTTCCTAGAGCAGGCCAGATGTTCATCGCTTATGTAAATAAACAACACGTTTCTAAAAGTAAAACTATACAAATGTGGTTGCTGAGCGAGGAAGACGAATCCAATCTTGCATTAATGCTATAATCTGTTTATCACGTTTGTCTGCTTTCTCATAACCACGATATGGCATTTACATTTTAATTGATAAGTCATTAGCAAATATTGCATTGTGGATGTACACTTAAATATGAATTTGTAGTAGCCACATATAGTAGTATAAAATCAAATAGCCTATATGTGTATGTATTTTAGCACTTATATGATGCATACCAATGTTTGTTATAAATGAATATCAAATTATAGTGTTAAATAAACACGAATAACGTTGAGTGTCTCGTAGGAAAATTAGAAAAGATTAGTGTCTCGTAGTAGAAAAATATTAAAATCTTAGAACGATTTTTTCCACACTGGAGACAGTTTATTGTAATAAATATAATTGTTTAAATCTACTCATTACAAGTATTGGTACTTGAATAATAAATAATCTGTTCGTGAAATTTTTTATTGTTTTAAACGTCATCATCTTAAACGATTGTGATTGGGCTGTCCCGACGAATCTTGAGAAAAGTAGCACTAACCATGTGACAACGTTGAACGGTATACATAACAGTATATATATATATATATATATATATATATATATATACCACGTGTAAGCCCCGCCATTTAACACATTTTACCGTTTAAATCCGCAGAATCAGGTTTCCCTCAAAATCAGTGTAAAATTGCAATTTTTTTACATTTGGAATTTAAAATAGCTGCTAGTTAACTAAAATATACATTAAAATTAATAAATAAATAAAAAATGAATGTATATATATATATATATATATATATATATATAGTTAATTGAAATAAAGCAGAAATGAAATGAAATTCATAAAAAATATTTGATGAAAAGCTCAACATAAACAAAACCCTGAAAATTAGAAACGTGGCTTTGGCAAATTAAAATAAAAGTAAAATAAAATAAGAATTAATAAAATAAAATACAAATAAATTAAAGCTAAATATTTTTTACAAAGTAATACAAATACAACAGCAAAATATACACATAACTAAAATTGACAATTAAAATGAATATTAAAAAAAATAAAAGCTAGAATATTAATAAAAATACTGTAATAGTATATAAATAATACAGTGTCTTTACTTTATCTTTGTTTTGCATCTGTATTTCTCTCCCTATTTTCACTTTCTGTTTTCTTTTCATTCCCAGGCTCTTATTTGCAGCTGTTTCATTCCTGTATATTGTGGTTTAATTCCTCCTGCCTTCCGTGGTGTGGTAAGTATTAAAGTTCATAACTTTAATGGTGTGATGTAATTTTTTAACTTGAGCCAATGCATGAGGCATTGTATGAGGTGACACGGCTGGAAAATTGAATTATTTCACATGGGAGAATTAGGACATTGCAACAAGAGTTCATTGCACTTACTTCAAAGAATTCAGTCACTGGGGCAAAGTAAACTAACACTGGCCTCAATAAGAGAATTAAATACGCTTATTGTTTTGACCAAGATTTTCTTGTAGAGCTGTTACTCAGTGTGTCTGAATGAACCCACCCTCAACCCCGTAGCCTGCACATTGTGTACTTGTTCTTTAGAAAGGGAGGAGACTTCAATGCATAGAAATAGTTCAGAGGTCAAACAGTTCAAATAAATGTTCAGCTCTGTTTGTATAAACACATATAACCCAGTAGTATTCATTATTTGGTTACTATATGGAATAATTGTTTCATTACATTCCTCAACTTAATTAGGTAATACAGATGATACTTTATTCATACACATGCCAGTTACTAATCATGACTTACATTGAAAAATTAAACCCAGATTAATGAATCTATCAAAACTTTAAGTAGATTAGGCTGTGACTAAAGTGGTCCATTGAGTAAAGTTTGGCTGTGATGTTGACCTATTAAAAGGACAAATAAAGGCTGTTATGCAAGTCTTTTGGTCTGATCACTCCACCACCTTACTGCTGGTCAGCCCTGATCAGACCACCCTCAACTGAGCCACATTGACACTTGCAATAGCCTGGAAATCCCAATTGGCTCATTACAAACAATACATTTCCCATCAGGAACTACTACTGCTATCTAGCTAGCTATCATTTAATCATTAGGAAGGCTGGATGGTTTAAGATGGATGTGTCTTTA